AGGGCCTTGGTAACCCGGGCGACGATCGAGCCGTATGATTTTCGATGGCGGAAAGGAAAATGTCCATGAAGGACAGACGGCTAAATTTTACGGGGACTTCGCCACGGACTCCAACCCTCCTTTTTTCTGAACCTGGCTATTGACCGGCAACGGCTTCATCGGATTATCGTAGCATAATTGCCACTTGCCCATGATTCAAGAGGTTTAGAGGATAATTTCGGATCAGCCGATTGGTTAGTATCTCTTTTCTTTTCTAGACGTTGTGTCCGCGCTCGTTCTATAATAACTATATTATGTGGCGATGAAATATACGGTTATTGTTGTAAAGCAGGTCGTCATATGGGAATTCTAAAACAACAATTTTATCGATTTTCATTTTTTCTGCTCAATGAGATTATGACAAACTCTCATCCTTCAATCCCGGCAAGATTCTGCGCTCGATGATTTAGCATTTTCTATACCAGTTGCTGGAGCTGTAGCTGATTTATGATCGATGATGGCCGAAGTTTCACAAAACAGATGGCAAAACTTCACTGTCAACGCAGTTGGCTACAACATCGGCTACATCATCAGGGAACAGAGAAACCGAACAGCATAGAGCGTCTGCACATCTAAATGGTTAATAATGCCGAATAGGTATTTGAACACCACTGTTAAAAGAAATACACCAGTCCATAGTGGAAAACACTCATCAGGTCGATAACGTTTCGGTATCACCAGGATGACGGCTGAGTATTGGCATGTATTAAAATCACCGAACTTAGATAAAAAGTGCTGCATCAAAATAAACAAAAACAAACAAAACGAGTTAAATTTAACAAACCAAAAATAAATTAATTTTACTTTTGTTTTACTTATCAATTAAAGATTATTTTTATATTTATTTCATTAGTTTCATTGATGTCTGGAAGTGAATATATTTTTTAACTCCATAGTCAACAACATGCGATACAACAAATGAAACTTTTATTTAAGACTGACGTTTCGATAGACTGATCCTCTTAGAGGAATACAAAAATACAATAGAATGAAACTAACGAAAAC